ACGCGGTGAGGGCTGAGAGAAATATAGCATTCTAAGCCACACCTCCAGTGACCCACCTCTAGCCAGGCCCCACCAGCTAAGGCACATTTAGCCCTGAACTCCCATGTGGATGGACGCACTGAGGAGCACAGCAGCTGCCGTGATGCAGTCACCTTCCCGAAGCTCACGAGGCCCTTGAGGACACCCCACATCTAAGCCATAATGGATGGCAACTGGGCTATTGTTCTTAGAAGGCTGCAACCAAAAGTACTTCCAAACAGAAAGAGAACAGAATCCAAATGAAAGTCAGAACTCTAGCCATAAGCCATCTTAAAACATTCTGGGATGGGGGAGTATCTCAGTTGTAGAGGACATGTTTTACATGCTTCAGGCCCTAGGCTTCATCTCCAACACTAAAAAAGCAAACAATAATAACAACACAAATAAAAATTTTAAAGAATTCCATAGTAGAACACATCAAAATAAAACACTGGACAGATTTCAGTAATGTCTTCAATGGAACACAAATGAAAATGAATAGTTTTTTTTTTTTTTTTTTTTTTTTCTAACCTAGCATACTGGGAAGTGATTTTTATTTTTGCATAATATAGTTTTCTCTACTTAGTTTGATTCAAGTACATAAATGATTAAAATATCTTGATTAGAAAAACTTGGAAAGTTTTGAAGAGGACATAGCATTTCAAAATTATTAGCTTTTGGTTAGTATATTTCTTAGTTTGCGAAAGAGAAATTATTGATTTTATTATGCGAGGAAACACGCAGCATAATTGGTTTTAAAATGACCTTGCTCAGTGAGGGACCAGAAAAAAAGGCACGGTAGGTATTTTTCCTTCTGTAAGTTAAGCTATAAAACTATATTTATGAAATAAAATCTTAAAGGGACTGGGGAGATGGCTCAGTGGAATAAGCGCTTCTCTGGCAAGTGCAAGGGCCTGAGTTCAATCCCCGGTTCCACCAAAAAAAAAAAAAAAAAAAAGAAATAAAATCTTAAAAATGCTGGAAGATTCTTGGTAATGATGTTGATAATTTCAGGGATATTAATGAAGTATTTGATTTAAAAGTATATTTTATTTAGTAGTTTTGATGTCTTGCCATGGTATGTATTAGCCTAGATGTCTTGTCATGGTATGTATTAGCCTAGCCTCAGAAAAAATGTAATATGTAGAATAATTTAAAAGTTATATTCTGAAGCCATTTTGAGCTACTAGACAAACTTTAATAATAAACTTTACATCCAGTTATTTTTAATTATCTCAGTAAACAGGATTTTGAAAACTTGAATAAGATACCATAATAAAGTTGAAATTTAGTGAAATTTTAATGTTAGTGTTTACTCTTGTTTTGAAATATTTTTATAGGATATAGATGTACCCTAGTTTAATTTTTCAAATTTACTACAAGTATCCTGAATGAGGAATATAATCAGGCTTTAAGATGGTTTGGTACTAATTATTCTGAATTCTTACGTGAGTGTAGGTTCTTAGACTAAATGTTATACAAGGTTCTTAGACTAAATGTTACGCCATTCTACAGTAGTTTGTAGAATTTAATAATCATTTTCTTCAGACTTGAATGAGAATAATAAATATAACTTGGAGTCATAGGGCATTAATGTACAACTTAAGAACTTAAATGTTTGTAGTCTGTTGTAAACAATTATTATATTAAATGTTGATTTTCTGGTGTAAATCAGCAAAAATAAAAGCAATTTTTCCAGTTTAAATGAACAAACATAAAAATCATAGGATGTTTTCATGGTATGGTTTCATGGTATGGTTTTGAGATAATAAAAATTTTGTATTTGGTGTAAGGATTGTATGTATGATATAAGCTCTATTTTTGCCACTGGGCAATATTTCATGTCTCTACTATTGCTGGGCAGGAACAGTTTTTAATGGCAATAATATCTTATAGTTCTTTTACTATCATTAGAAATGTTTCATAAAGTAGTTGCTTAGTAGTTGTTACAGGTGGTTAAGTGAACTACTAGTCCATAGCTATGATGCTGATGGACTTAGTGTAGGAATGTTCTGAATAAAAGTTATTAATGAGGACCATTGTTTTATAGGTGAAAATGTATTTAAAGAAGGAGTTTGAAAAGCATGGCGCGCTAGTGAATGAAAGTCATCATGATATTTTGGTGGAAGATATTTTTGATAAAGAAGATGAAGACAAAGATGGATTTATATCTGCCAGAGAATTTACATATATACATGACGAGTTATAGTGATGTCTTCCTACTTCATATAGCATCTATCTTTAAAGAGAAGGCAGTTGTCTTTAAAGGAAAAAACTGAAATGTTCTGGTTTTGCTTTTTAAAATTTTTATATTATTTTTCTGACGATTATTTAAAGAATTCTTTAGGGTTTCTAAATACTTCTTTCTGGTAAGTTATTAGGAAGAAACAATTTGTTTTTGCACGGTAGACTTCTGGACCATTTTTCACCCTTGTATTGTGCCATTTGTAATTTTGAAATACTGCCACCACCAACATGCCACCATGTAAGACCAGGTTATTGCATAAATCGGTAGCTTGTATTTCTACTTCCCTCTATATTCTCAGAGTTAGATACTGACGTTTAAATAGCCTTTTACAATATCCCAAAGCTTGTTGTTTTCATGTTATAATGAAACAGTTTGTCTTGAACTGTTTTGGAGTCGCTGCTTGAAGACAGGAAGAAAATGGCAGACTTTGTGCTTGCAGTTACTGCTTTATTGCAACACAGAAGGGAGGAACAGTTTGTGGGTATGTGTGCACTGGAACATTCTGCTTAGGACTAAAACTAAGTAAGACTTTTTCATAATAGCTAATGGAGCTACTAAGGTAAACATAATAGGTTATTTATGTCTTTTCTTTTTTGGCAGTACTGCGGATTTAACATCCATCTCCTGCCTTTTTCTTTTTTTTTACTTTGAGATAGGGTCTTGCTAAGTGTGAATTGTCAAGGCTAGGCTCGAACTTGCAGTCCATTTGTCTCAGCCTCCCACAGTGCTGGGATTATAAGCATGGGCCAACACACTTGGCTTTAATGTTTAGTTTTGAAGGATAGTAGCTTACCCACATGGTCCTTTAAGGAGGAAAAACACAAGTAGTCAGGCATGGTAGTACAGTCCTATAATCCAAGTATGTTGGAAAGCTGAAGTAGAAGGATTACAAAGTCATCCTTTGTAATGGGGAATTTAGTGATTTATTAAGATTGTATCACAAAATAAAAGAGGTTTGGGGACAGAGCTCAGTGTAAAGGCTTTGAGTTCCAACCCTAGTGCAACAAATAAACAAATGAAAATAAATAAGCACAAACCTCAACTAGTATGTAATATTGTAATAACATTCCATCATAAGTAAAACTACAAAGCCAGAATTTTCTCATGAAGCAGCTCCAGGCATGGTGGTGCACGCCTATAATCTCAGGCACTACAGAGGGTGAGGCAGGAAGATCTCAAGTTAAAGGCTAGCCTAGGAAATTTAATAAAAGCCCATCACAAAGTAAAATAAAAAAGACTGGAGGCATAACTCAGTGGGGGAATGCTTGCCAGGCAAGTGCAAAGTCCCAGGCTCAATCCTCAGCACCAGGGTGGGGGAACAGAAGGCAGATGTCCAGAAGCTACTGTGGAATAAGTGCCTATTGTGGGTTTAAAAAAGTGGGATAATTTTACGGTTTTATCTCAAATTGTCTTTTATTAGGGGCCAGGGAGATGGCTCAGTAGAATAAGTGCTTCCCTGGCAAGCGCAAGGGTCTGAGTTCAATCCCCGGTTCCGGAAAAAAAAAAAAAATGTCTTTTATTCTTTTTTTTTGTTGTTGTTTTTTCTTTTATTCTTAATACTTAAAAGTCTCTAAGTCTCTATTTACTAAGAACAGCTCTTTATGGTTCACAAAATCATATTAAGTGCACTATTATTACTCATGGTGCTGGGCCTCCTGTGTGCTAGGCAGGCACTCTACCACCAAGCCTCACCTCCAGTTCTGAAGGTGCATTGTCGTCTTTGGTTTTCATTACTCTGAAGTCTATGAAAAAAAATACTTCCTTTGCCTACTTTATAGATGAGAAAATTGTCATTCAGAGAGACTAATGGTGATGCCCAACATCAGCAGCTAATCTGTAGAACTAGTTTTCAGTCCCCTAATTCAATGTCTTCTTACTGCCTTCTACTAAAACATGGCAAGTTTATTTGAATCCCTTAGGCCTAATTCTCGCAGGTTTGCTGCCTGTTGTTGACTTTGGGTCCTTCTCTTTTGAGGAGGGTTTTCTGGTTGGCTCTGGAGTATGAGACTTCTCCCCATGATTCAGGAATGGCTTTGGTTTTACAAAATGATTTTAGAGGTTAGCTCTGAATGGCCTCAGATATCCCAACAGTGAGAGATTTCTTGTAAATGTCTTAGAAATTGTATTACTGCTTGGTACCATAGTTTTTATTTTAAAGGATGATAAAAAGTTACATAATATGGGGACCACTTTCGCTGATTATATGTTGAGATTTTTCTCATTAAAACATGACGCTCTTGGGAAGAATATAATGTCTTTCTCTGAAGAAAGCAGCTCCATCTTGCAAGTTGTCACTAATGTCTTCCTGAACCTGGAGAGGTACAGAAGAAACCCAGGATACAGAAAGCCTTACATTGCATATGTGGAAAGGTAGCTTGTCCTATGGTGCTTCGTGTAGACATTACTAGTGCCATATATGATAGAGAAAAACGAGTTAAAAAAAATTTTTTTGGCTTAATCATCTTGTATGAATTTGCATCAATTCTTATCCAAATATTTGAACACAAAACCTCATACATACATTATGGTTGTTCTTCAGTTATCAACCTTTTGTTATAGCCTATTCACATCCTCCCAGTAGCATGAGAGTGTTCAGACATGAACTCTGACTTCACATGTATGTAATTTAACTCAATACTGTTCTGTTTGTGATGTTTGGATTTGTATAACTGTATTGTGGTAGTCTTCAAAAATAAAGTTTATTTGGGAAATAACTGATTTTATAAAAAAATCTTAAAACATTAATCTCAACAGCTTTATTGCTCTTTTCTTTCTTTCTTTCTTTCTTTCTTTCTTTCTTTCTTTCTTTCTTTCTTTCTTTGAGGCATGGGATGGGGGTTGAAACCTAGAGTCTTGTGCATGCGAAGCACGTGTCTGACCACAAAGTGACATACCAGCCCTCTCGTTATCTAGGTTTTACGGAAGAACAAGTGAGGAAGATTGACAGGTAATGGAAGGAAAGGGGTACAGTGACACTTAGAATTTGCCTCTGATTGTATGCTCTATTGAAGTATATTTGTCAGGAAAGCTGTGGTTTGGTTTAAACTATTCTGAAGTCAACATTAAGCCTTGAGACTTAAGAGTGATCATCAATAGTGAACTTTTAACAAAGGAGAAAGCATTTTTTTTTCAGGGATTTTTATGGGAAGAGGAGGGGACGGTGGTTCTTAATGCTGTTTTGGTTTGGGATTTTATTATGTATATAACAAGTGGACAGTACAATGGTTTATGCCTACTGAGTAAATAAGTGCTATAAAATGCTGTATTTGATCACATGAACTGTTGAATGGCCATAAAAGTAACAAGAAACAACAATTTCTCATCACATGAAGCAACTAGCCATTTGGATTTTTCTTCACAGGAATGAAGTTGTACTGTTACTCATGATATAGGATATTGGTTATAGCTAAGATTTCAGCCTGCTACTGTATCTCCTCACTGAGTTAAGTATATGGTTAACTTCTCAGTGTTTGGACATTGTAAAAGAAGAAGGAATGCTATGGCATGTTATGGGAAAAAACTTTTCTTACCTTTTTATTAAAAAGTAAATTAGTATTATAATAACCCTAGGGAAGAATAACAATTCTTTTCTGGAGATGGTGAACACCCGACCATTTTTGTTTTGTATCTACCATAGCATGAGTTAAAAATCTAAAATGTCAGGCTGGGGAGATAGCTCAGTGGTCTAAGTGCCCTGCCTGGCAAGTGCAAGGACCTGGGTTTGATCCCCAGTACCACATGCCATGCAGGACCCAGAGCTCCAGGCATGCCATGCCGGCCCTGAAACCAGGCTTTGTGGTGCATGCCTATAATCCCAGCACTGGGAAGGCTGAGACAGAAGGATCATGAGTCCAAGCTGTGTAGTGAGACCCTGTACCAAATAAAAAATAAAGAAAAGATTAAAAATAAAATCTAGGGGCTGGTGAGATGGCTCAGTGGTCTAAAGCACCTATTTAGAACAAGCTTAGCAAAGCACAGGGACCACGGTTCAATCCCCCAGCACCACATGCCAGCCAGCCCCGCCCCCTGGTGGGCTGAGCTGGACACACACACACACACACACACACACACACACACACACAAATAAAATTTAAAAAAATAAAAATAAATTAAATAAAATCTAAACTGTCAAGCATAATTATAAATTCACATGTGCAGTTGAAAGCATTAGTAGTATAGTACTTCCATCTTATATATAAGTTTTTTTTTTTTGTTTGTTTGTTTTTTGTTTTTTTGGAACCGGGGATTCAACTCAGGCCCTTGTGCTTACCAGGGAAGTGCTTATTTCACTGAGCCATCTCCCCGGCCCCATAAGTATTCTTAATAGTAGGATTTCTGTATTCCCTTTAGTGCAATGAAATCTGCATATTCTCACCCCCTCCCCTTTCAGACATCAACTGGAAATGTGCAGACTTTTTTACTAGGTTTAGAGGGAGACAGATCTCACACAATGGCAGGAGCACTCAACTGTCCTGGTTGTAACCCCCCTAAATGTATGAAATCCATACATTCTGACATATGGATTTGGAATCTTTATTTGGAGGGAACTTTGGGGGGCTTGAGGGGTATAATCCAGTGGTAGAGTGCTTGTTTAGCATGTGTGAAGCCCTGGGTTCAATGCCTAGCACTAAAAATAAAATATTATTTTGACCTCTTTCATCTTTGTCTCTGTTGTGATAATTTCTTGCTTCAGGTTGCAGAGCATGGTAGATTTTCAGATTAGGGTTGCTCAACCGGTAGTCTACACAAATATTACAAGGAGAGAACTGTGAAATCTGACATACTTCTCATCCCAAGCATTTTGGATGATGGATAAACAGCCTATTAGATATAATATGAGAGGGGCTGGAGAGATGGCTCAGTGGTCTAAAGCACCTACTTGGAACAAGCTTGGCAAAGCACAGGGACTGCAGTTCAATCCCCCAGCACCACATG